GGAATGCCTCCCTCTGCCAGCCTACAGGTCTTGCAGGGGCTCTCCAGAACTTGCAGGGCTTCTCCAGGTCCTGCAGGAGCTCATGGTGCCTCACCCGCAGGCACCAGGCACGTGTGGCCAGCACACATCTCTGCTAGGCCACCCCATGGTCCGTGCAGTGGGAAAGTGAGGAGCTCTGGCCTTTCCTCAGGCTCTCCAGAGAGTTGAGCTCTTGGAAACAGACATAACAGAGAGTGTGGCAGCAAACACAGCCCTTCCTCTTGCTCAGCCTCAACTCCAGCACAGCTGCAGAGAGCAGGAGTGGGAACTGACTGGAGATGTCCAATTCGGCCTAGGGACAGGGCTTCTTCCACACCCCTCTGGGGAGCAGGACTCTGTTTCCAGCTCGTGCTGCACTCACTTTGGCACAGGGCAGTGTTTTCCACAACTGCAAGCCAGCGTTGCCAGAGTGCTACAAACCAATAAGTGATGGGACCCAGATCTGTCCTGGCCCAGCTCTTGTTGATTTAAAGAACTTGGTTCCTTCTCCTCAAGGCTTCTGCCATCCCGCAGGCTGTGGCTTGGGCAGCTGGGAGCAGCTGGGATGTTTCAGAGCAGAGGCATTTGTGCCCTTCTGTGTCTTGATTTCCTTTCTGAGGAGCAGGGAAGCCTGTTTGTCCCAGGACTTGTTTCAAACAAAGGTCAATCTGTTACTTTCTAATAAGGCCATGTGGGTTTGCTTCCCCGCTGCTGTGGGATGTTTCTGAGCCTCCTTCCCTTCGAGCCTAGTGGGTTTGCAGGGTGCTGGTGCCCCCAGGGTAACCAGAGTGCCCTGTGTGTCGTTTCAGTATGAGGATCATCACGCCAAGTGGGATGTCAACCAGGCCGGCTTCAGCCACAGCCACCAGCACGGCTTCGGCCTGCTCAACGCCTGGAGGCTGGTCAATGCTGCCAAGGTGATTCCCCTCCCTGCCACAGGTAGAGCAGTCCCAGCCAGGTGACAGGGACAGGCCCCTCACTGGCCATGCCGTGGGGTGACACCGTTGCCGCTCGGGGCTGGCGCTTTGGCTGCCATCCTGTGGCCCTCACCGCGAGGCTGCTTTTGGTATGAAGTCATGAGGCTCTCAGCAGGGCCCCCAGCCTGTCCCAAGCTGCAGTTCTCAGCACTATATATAGCCATGGGCAAGAGCCCTTGCTGGTGGGAGCTCTGATTCACAGCTTGGGGAGCTTCAGCAGCAGCCCTGGCACCCTCCTCCCTACGCAGCTCCAGGGAGGGCAGCATGCCCCAAGGAAACAGGGCATTCTCAGCTGGCAGCTCCAGCCTCTGCATCCCGGGGGCTGCCGAGGGTGTGGTGTGCTCAGAGCAGGCAGGGGCAGCCCCATCTCTTCCTCCCTCTGGCTCTGGTCATGTGGAGACCAGGGCACATCACTGGTGGTCAGGGCACTGCGCCGCTGTGCTGGGTCACAGCCGGTTGCCAGTGATGTCCCCTCTGCCTGGAGCTCCCAGGCTGCTCTCTCTTCCCACAGGGATCTGGGTTCTGCTACAATTCCTGCCCCACTGCACCTGAGGTTGGGACAGAATGGCTTCAAGTGACAGCCCAAAGTCACTCAGATGGTGGCAGAGACAAATGCAGAGCTGGAGAGCCACTCCAGCCCACAGGCAGCTGCTTTCCTTCCCCTCCCCAGCACAGGGCTTCCCCTCCAGCCCTGCAGCCTGGGCGGGTGCCTGGGTCCATCTGTCCCCACCCAGCATTAGGAGAAGCCCCTGGGCCCATGGCCAGATGCATTAGGGGTTCCACAGCCTGCACGAGTGGTGGGAGTCTGAGAGGTGGATGCACAGGGAGGGAATAACCTGCTGAATCCTCTCGCCTTTCCTCTGACAGATCTGGGAGTCTGTCCCCTACCTCGCTTCGTATGTGAGCCCTGCACTGAAGGAGGGCAGGAACATCCCCTTGCTCCCACAGGAGCTGGAGGTCACCTGGAACGGTAAGAGCAGGTGTGCCATGTGAGAGCACGTGCTGTACACACCGAGGCCAGGGAGCCAGGGATCCAGCCTGTCCTGCTGGCGTGGGGCACACTGACAGCCTGGCAGGGCAAGCCCTGGGTGAGGCCATGGAGGGGTTAAGTGTTGGCCTGCCTGGGCTGCTTCCTCTCTCTTTCCGCTGCTGATCCCCAAGGGATCTGTGCCTGTCGATGTGGTCCCCTCTCCATAACTCCATCCCATGGATTGATGTCTTTGAGGAGCCAGACAGGCATTAGTGAGCATGGCCAGGCTGGGCAGCAGCCAGTCCTGCTCCTCTGGCTGTGACCATTTTAGGTAATGCTCCAGCTCCCGACTTGGCCAGTCTCTGTCCACATAAACAAGGCACTGCTCTGGCTGCTACCAGTGGGAAGGAGAGCTCAGTCCCGAGCCCTTCCTGGCCCCCAGCAGGGCCTGGCTCTTGGGCTGGGCACAGCTTCTTGTCCCTGGGGGCCCAGCCCTGCACCCCAGCAGGTTGCCACCCCCTGTTGCAGGTGGTCTCATCCCTCCCCTCCTTGCTGAAGGTTGTGAAGATGCTGGGCAGGTGCTGGGCACATTCTTCCTGTGTTCTGTCCCTGCCTGGCTGGGCTGGTCCAGCTCTGCAGCACGTACCAGCACCATAGAGCCCCAGGGGACAGAGGGGTGACACCCTGCTCCTGGGGCTGGCAGGGGGTTAGCCCTGCTCCACCTCCAAGGCAAGGGGTGAGGGTCAAGCAGTTCCTTCTGCCCTAGAAGGAGCTGTGAGCTGAGCCCTGGGCAGGCAACAGAGTGTGGGAAAGGCAGAAAAGAGGCACTTTGGGGAAGAGTGGAAAGAGGAATGTGTGGCTGGGGGCACTACTGTCCCCCAGGTACCCACAGAGTGGCTCTGAGTTAACCTTTTCTCCAAGGTCCCCAGGGACTGTCAGCGCTGGTTAGCGCTGCCGACAGGCTCTGCTCCAGGGGTGCACCCACCCCCTGCTTGGGCAGTGGCACAGCAGCCCCTTCAGCAGGCTGGAAGTGGGGACTCCATCCGAGCCACCAGCCTTGGCAAACCCTGCCTTCCTTTTCCCAGTCACCACCGCCGACCTGGAGCTCTCTGGCATGAGAACCCTGGAGCACGTGGCAGTCACTGTCACCATAACACACCCCCGCCGTGGCAACCTGGAGATCAGGCTCTTCTGCCCCAGTGGGATGATGTCCCTGATAGGGACCACCAGGAGCATGGACTCGTAAGCACTGAGTGGGATGGGAGGCCCACGCTGCCAGGCAGGACACCCAGCCCAGCTCCTCTGGCAGGAGATCCATCCTTCTGGCTCAGCCTGTGTTCCCCTCTTACGGGTTGTTTCTCCACCCTTTGGCAGGGACCCCAATGGCTTTGCTGACTGGACCTTCTCCACCGTCCGGTGCTGGGGTGAGGAAGCACAGGGCATGTACAGACTGGTCATCAGGGACATTGGTGAGTCCTGCCTCCCAGGGATCCCTCGTGGGGTGGTGGCAGCTCCGTGCCAGGTCCTGTGGGGCTGCCAGCTCTGCACCTGGGTGGCCATGGATTAGCTCCATGCAGAGCCATCCAGCCAGGTAGAGTTCCCTGCTAGTCTAACCTGTTTCTTCCCCAGGAGATGAGAGCTTGAGGCCTGGCACCTTGAAGCAGTGGCAGCTGACCCTGTATGGCTCCTCCTGGTCCCCAGCAGAGATGAAGGAGCGGCAGAGGTTGGACATTCCAACCCCATCGTGGTGGGGAGGCAGGAGGTGGAGGGCAAAGGGATATGGTCAGCAGTCTCTGCAGTGCTGCTGCCAGGTGCATGGCAGGGTGAAGCTGCAGCCTGGCCTGGGGCTCTGGGGAGACACTGCTCAGGGCAGACATGGGCTGTTGGCTGGGTTTGACCCAGGAGGGCAGCCCTCAGGGATGGAAGAGGCACTGCAGACACTTGGTGGGCGTTTGGGACCCTCTCTGGAGCAGCCCGGCCTGCGGGACCCTCATGGGGCTCCTCTGTCCCCCAGGCTGCTGGAGGAAGCCATGAGCGGGCGGTACCTGAGCAGCGACTTCTCCCTGCCCTGCCCCCCGGGGCTGGAGATCCCCGAGGAGCAGCACTACACCCTCACAGCCAACACCCTCAAGGTGAGCCTGCCTGCAGGCACAGGGACTGGAGGAGTGACCCTTCTGCTGGGTGACAGCAGGGCTCTGGGGTGGCTGAGGGTTTTCCTTCTCAAGTGTTTTGCTCCTCCACAGACCCTCCTGCTGCTGGGATGCTTTGCTGTGTTCTGGACTTTCTACTACATGCTGGAAGTTTGCCTGACCAGGAACAACGTGGGGCTCGATGTGACCTGCAGTGGCTCCCCCACCTGCAGGTGGTACCAGCAAGGAGGGAAGCACAGAGCCCTGGAGAGCGGCCTGGAGATGGAGTCTGTGCCGCTCTACTGTGAGAAGGACATGGATGACGTGGAGGTGGAGTGTGAGCACCCAGAGCCTGCCCAGGAGGACCAGAGGGAGGAGGGGTCCTGGACACCCACCCACCCCACACTTCCCAGTAACGGCAGAGCCACAAGTTTCCAGGAGGCATCCCCAGCTGGAGCAGGGTACCTTGGCCGGGAGGCGATGACCGAGCTGCTCTCGGAGGACAGGGAGCACCAGACCTGCTAGCTGGGGCTGGGCCTTTGGGCTGTGTCCCCCTTCGGTACGTCCTTGCCAAGCATGGGCAGCAGAGACTTCCTGAGCCACCTGTCCCATTGCTGCTGCTTTCTGTGGAAGGTGGAGTTGGAAGTGGCTCAGAACCAGGAGAAAGAGTGCTGGCAGTGGAAGGGGAGCTTCCCTTTCCCTCGCTCTGGAAAACAAAGCAAGCCTTAATCCCATTCCTAATGGAGCCTGCCTTGCAGCCACGCTCAGGGCTTCCCTTGGTGCAGGGAGCAAGGCCCCAAACTGGTGCCTGCCAGGCACGTGGTGGCCATGGTGGAGCTCTGCAGAGTCCTCGGGCCTCTGTGGCTCCCACAGCCTTGCAGCACAGAGAATAAGCGTCACTTTGTCCTGATTTCTGCAAAGTGAGCCTGGAGAATGTGGCAGGGCCCCTGGCAGCTGCCTCTGCAGGTAAGGACCCCACAGCACTGTCACTTGCCTGTCCCTCTGGGCCAGACCCACCAGTTATGCCCAGCTTAGCCAGAGGGAGCCAACCATGCTTGTTCCCTGGCCCCTCTGCCTTGACCCCACCGCCTCCTCCTCTCCCACAGCTGGGCAGCTGGAAGGCAGCAGAGCTTGGACCAACCTGCTCAGGGGGGCAGGACGGGGCTGTCCCTGCCAAGGGGGCCTCAGCCTGTGCCCAGGGCCAGGAGGGCTGAGCCGTGGCTGCTGTGGGCTGGGGAGGGGAGCTGCAGTTGCTCTGGCAGTGGCTCAGAGTGAGCAGGGCTGGCTTGGTCGTGCCTCTTCGGGTGCGTTGGTTTATTTTTTTAAAGCTGGGGTTTGTTTTTTAATCAGCAAAGCCTTTTTGTGTAGCTTTCCAAATAAAGTCTTAAAAACCACCCTCTCCCCCATCCATCAACTCCTCTGCCCTCCCAGCACGTCCTGGCTGTGGAGACGTGAGTCACCCAGCACCTCCCAGCACCTCCCAGCACCTCCCAGCCCTGGGATGCCGGGGTGGGTGCTGGGTTTGCTGCTGGCTTCTCACAGGCCCCCGTGCCCTGCTCTCTGGGAGCCAGGATAACTGGGGTTCCAACTCCCACATTCCTGGCTGTGGTTTTCCCAAGTTCCAGGCTGGAAGCAGGAGCAGATGGAGCTCAGGTGACCTGAGCAGCTTTTGCAGCGCCCTGCAGGGGGGGCGGGCAGGAGGGAACCCGCTCGGGCCGGGCTAGATGAACAATAACCTTTTTAATTTTGACCAAAAAAAACCGAAGTACAAAACCGAGGCCAATTTTCTTTTCTCCCCGTTCTCAAGGATCTCTGCAGCGGTGGCGGGGGCTGGTGCGGGGCTGGGGGTGGCTCCGGGGCGCGCACCTTTCCCACCCCCCCTCCCGGGGAGGGCA